GTCGGGGCACTCTGCCCTAAAGCCCCGCCTGGTGGAGGGCTGCAGTGATGGGTGGCTTTCTACAACTTTCTCCCATCTCCCGACTGCATCTCTGGAGCTCAGCCACAGTCATCTTTGGGTTCTTCTGTACCTCTCTCACCGAGGCTCTTCTCCCCCGATAGCTCAGTTTGGCCGGATGGCCAGCTCTAGGAAGGGTTCTGGTTGTCCCAAACGTCTTCCATTTAAGGATTATGGAGGCCACTGTGCTCTTAGGAACCTTAAGTGCAGCAGAAATTTTTTTGTAACCTTGGCCAGATCTGTGCCTTGCCACAATTCTGTCTCTGAGCTCTTCAGGCAGTTCCTTTGACCTCATGATTCTCATTTGCTCTGACATGCACTGTGAGCTGTAGGGTCTTATATAGACAGGTGTGTGGCTTTTCCTAATCACGTCCAATCAGTATAATCAAACACAGCTGGACTCAAATGAAGGTGTAGAACCATCTCTGGGATGATCAGAAGAAATGGACAGCACCTAAGTTAAATATATGAGTGTCACAGCAAAGGGTCTGAATACTTATGACCATGTGATATTTCAGTTTTTCTTTTTTAATAAATCTGCAAAAATGTCAAACATTCTGTGTTTTTCTGTCAATATGGGGTGCTGTGTGTACATTAATGAGGAAAAAAATGAACTTAAATGATTTTAGCATATGGCTGCAATATAACAAAGAGTGAAAAATTTAAGGGGGTCTGAATACTTTCCGTACCCACTGTATATGACTTCAAATTAGCCTATGTCCTTCTGAAAGGTTCTCTGCAGAGGACTCCTGAAGGTCTGTTAGAGTGACCCTTGGTGTGACCCTGCTTTTCACTAGCTCTTTTCACCCATTGTAACCTTTCACTTCCAAATAAACTTTTCTCCTTTGCCCTTTGACTCTGTAGCCCATTCCAGACCAGCACATAAACGTGACCTTTGTGGAATCTGAATATTTTTGGGGATGTTACTGTACTGTAACTTCATTGAAAAACATGTGTAATGTCAAGCAGGTCATAGTGGAATGTGTATACAGTGGAAGCATAAAACCCTGCATCTAGGCCTGTTTAGTACTGTTTTGTTTACATAACACTGTAGCAGGTTCTCACAGCACTGACTCCACCAGTTGGAAAATTAAGACTCCTGTAAAGGGAATATCACATCCTAGTAGTCCATACAATCTTGAGTTCCAAACACACTCTGAGCGATCTGTGCATATTCTTACTATAGGACTGCTTTGTCAAATCACATTAACAGCAGAAGAGGTCTTTGTTAGACTGAGCAGTCTGTTGACTGAATTATGAGGCAGCTTGACAAAGTAACAGTACATCAGACTGTCAGCAGGCTAGCTTAACAGCTTTCTAGTGTCTGCAGTGTTCCTGCACTTTCACTCACAAAAATAAACAGGCTACATTCTAAATAAAGATCTACTGGGATACAAAATAACTTGATTGTAGTTTCCCCAGTGAACACAGTGATGTAATTCATTTACTGTTTAACACATGTTTTGGACATGAAAATGAAGTAAATCTGTGGACATAATAATAGTCTAAGTATTGGCATAGGTAAAGGTCCAGTCTGCACTTACAGAGATGTGTGTTGAGAATTCCTCAGGGACAGATGCCCACTACAGCTTGTTAAACAGAGAGCTGCAGAATGCACAGTATCTGTGGTGTCTTGTTCAATTTAATGAGCAAAGGAACGTGGGTTTGTGCTTTAGTAAGTGGTATTTTTTCATGGCTGCAAGCGCTTGCAGCCTTACAGCATGTTCTACACTGGACAGTTTTCTAGTAAGGCACAGAGTGAGGTGAGAGGGAAGAGGATGGGACAAGAAGAGAAGAACAGTGTATTTTTATATGGTGTAAATTAAGTTTTTATTTTGCTACCTGTTTTACAACTGTGTCAGGTTTTCATACACAGCGCAAGTTTCATTTCAACAGTTAAATGTCAGATTCAGCCAATTCTCCCTCTGGTGGGCAAATTGGTGACAGTAAAACTGGTTGAAGAGGGAGGAGGTCTATCATCTTGCACAGGAGCTATTGATCCACTGTGGAGTCAAATAGAGCCTGAAGTCACAGACATTTACACAGGCTCAAGTATATTATTTTTTGTTTGTTTGTTTGTTTTGTTTTTGACGCCTCCCAGATGTGCATGTACTGCAGCAGAGGTAAAGTGAGGTGTGTTGGTTGATTGGAACTTAATTGGTTATATTGGTTACAGTGTATGAGGTTAGCCTATATTAATCAATAAATAAGCTGATTATATTTTAAATTTTATGATGGAAAAACAAGTAGCTGAAGTTCTTCTTCTAATGATATTTCCTTTGCAATGTTTAATGTATTTGGCTGTGTAGACCACGTATAAACAGCTTAGCAGTTATGCTTTGCTTGGGACCAAGTTTAGTCTTCTCATGAAGACCCAATTCTCTACTACACAGGCCTAATCGAGGTGGTGGTGAATACCCTGTCAGATGCTGCAGTGGCCCACCTGGATGCAGAGGGGTATGCTGGGAAGAAGATCGACCATCCACTGTTACAAGCTCTTCTGGAACTACTTCATAACATACTAAAGCAAACATCAGCTGTTGTCCGCTCCGCACTTCAGGTATGAGCATTCAAAACACAACTAATGAGAACAAGAAATGCATTGCTCTTTCTCCAGCAACAGTCACTAAGCTGCCTTTGACCGAGGCTTAGAACAAATCAGAAGTGCACTGCGAAGCTAACCTCTGGTGTTAATACTTTGTCAGCACTGAACAGTAACTTGTATTAGGGTCTGTAACAAAAACATCTTAAACGGAAACAAATGGATTCTCTTTGAGTAGCTCATCAAACTAAGGGTACATCTTCTGTCACTTATAAGATTGTTCCTATGTCCTTGGTTGACTGGAACGACTTCAAGGTCAACCAAGGATGTAGGATGTTCCAAGGCTCTGAGGACCGAGGACTGTACTAGAGGAACCATGACTGAGGACACACAAGACCATCCTTTGCAGAAGTTTTTTTTTTAACTGAAACGCCCCTTTTTCAGAGGTCAGTTGGTGATTGGACATTTCAGATGAAGGATCTGAGGAAAGGACGTCTTATGTTGTTAACATATTTCCTGGAGTCCTTTTTCCTCATGTTTTCCTCGCATCTTAAGTGGACTAAGTCAAAAGGAAAAGACGCAAATGGGGGAAATGACGGTGCTTATAAAAAACTTGGAATGTACCCATAGGGCAAGCCTCCTCACTACTCTCTCTTACACTCTCCCACGTGTCTAGCATTTCATGGATGAAAGCCCACTGATAGGGTATATAAATGGTCCCAAGTGTGAAGTTAATCAAGTAGAAGGTAATGTGGATGTGATCTCTGCTCTGTGGCATCTTGCAGTTTATCTGTGGAGAGAAAATCACTACTGCTTATACTGGCAAGTTACAAACGAATGTCCTTGCAAACTTGTAACTACATGTTGCTATACTTCTAAAAATGACCACAATTCCACAGTCCTTGCAACATCCTTGTATGTTTTCTAATATTTTTGAGTGATTGTTAGCTGTGTGGCTATATCATGTTACATTGGTCCCTTTTAGTCTGGAACATTTTCCACACTGATTCACTACTACTTACCAATTGCATCTCAGTAGAGCACAGAATCACCAGCAGAATCACAAAGTCATCTCCCTCAAAATGTTGTCCTTGTATCATGTCCCTGAAGGCATGTGTATGAGTGTGTGTTTGTGAGCATGTGTGTGTGTCCATTGATGTCTGCAGTGGAAGCTAGTGGGTTTAAGCAACTGCAATATTGAAGTTGTGGACTCAGGAGAAATTGTCACTGGGACACACACACACACACACACACACTCATGCTCACAGGCATACGCGGAGGGGCCTGTCTGGCTATGTCCCTGCGGCCTCATTATCACCACTGGCTTTGTCCTCAGCTTGCCTCCCTACACTCACATACGCTCACACACACACACACACACACACACACACACACACACCAGCCCCCATCTCCCCACAGTAGAAGGAGAGACGGAAAAGGGAGAAAGTGGAATGTGCAGCGGAAATCAATTCTGTGAGAAATGCAAAGCTCATTAAAAAGAAAACTTCTGCCCAAACCAAATTCATTTGGGTAATCAGGTCTGATAAGGAGAGAGGACGTGACTAGACCACTCTCCCCAAACTGTTCTTCTACCGGTCAAGAGAGAGTGTGTGGCAGAGATTATATACACTTCAGAAAAAAGAGGAAGCAAGAGAATAACAGAGAAAAAGTGACAGAGGGAAAATTAGTGCCAGTATTAAACATATTATTCCACCACTAATTGGCCTGAAATTTCACTGTGGGAACATTAAAATAGCAGTATATGCAGGAAAACAATTTTCTCCCCTAGTCCATCTATCTATGTGTCTTCCTGTGTATGTCTCAGTCTGTCAGAATCCGTCTTGGCAGGTCTCTGGATCCATCATTATTGACTGTCAAATCTCAATAAATGATTTAGCGTGTGTGTGTGTGTGTATGTGTATGTATGTATGTGTGTATAGAGCCAGAGGCTATCTTGTCCAGCAGTAGAGACGGAGGCAGCAGAGAAGCTGCTCCTAGCCAACAGACCCCTGAGCCAACTCAGCAAACACCTCATTCAAATGGTGAGACCAGCACTCCCAGAGCCTGTGTGTGTATGTGTGTGTGTGTGTGTAAATGCCTTGCATGCATGCATAAATATTTTCTGTTCTGCATGCATTTTTATGTACTGTATGTCTGATATAGTGACACAAACTTCGCATATGTGTATGCCAAAAAGTGTGTGCAACAGAGAGAGAGAAAGACTGACATACAGGAAGTAAGAACATGCCTGTTTGTCTGACTGTGTTTTTCCAAGTTGTCCAAGGAATAAATGTCAGTAATACTTGAGTAACTGAGTAATACTCTTATTAGTCTGCATAGTGAGTAAAAAAGTACTCCTACAAGGTAAACATTGCATGAATTAATGTCTGACTACACTGTAAATATCAAAACTACCAGTCAAGCTTTTTTAAAAGTTCTTTCTTAATTATGGATTATTATCTTGGTGTTTTGAAGTAATGTATCCACAGTTATTGCAGATAGTAATCCCAGAAAGCTGCAGAAAAGATGCGGATACTGCATCTGCAAGTACCAGCACAGAACTTGATATGATCTAAAAAAATGAAGAATAGGTACAGTCTGTGAGAAATGTGGAAGTGTTACTTTATAGCCCTTAACACATCCACACCTTCTGGCACAAGTAATCACTTAAGAGCACATGTTAAAGAATAATGTGATGAAAAATAACTTCCTCCTTTGTCTGTACTCAATCTCATAATTATAATTGAAGCACTATAGTATTAGAGTAAAATCCATTGCATGATGAGTGCTTGTCTTTGCCTCTGGTCTTCTAAAAGCTTCTTTACATTAAAATAATTAACATTATTTGTAACTATTCTAAAACAAAATAGTGACTTGGATGAATAGCAGGAGGTCAGGAGTTGGAGAAGGTAGAGCATGGAAGAGGTTCAAAGAAATGAAATTGAGGTGAGAGGATGAAAAGAGATGCTGGGAGAAGGGGAGAGGAAAACGATGATAGATGGACAATCCATGCACAAAGAGAGAGGGTGCTGTGAGGCATCTTGGGAAGTCGAGGACATAAAGAAGAGTGGGAGGAGGAGAAGAGGGTTTCTCAAGGGACATAATAGAGGTTTTTACTCATACTTGACACACTGAGTGTTGGGTGGGCATCTGTGTGTATGTGTCACTGGTTATGTATGAAAGGGTTAAGGCAGCAGCTGACAACACCCCCAGCTTACACACCCAGAGCCCCTTTGCTCCATGGGAGATTAACTTGATATAGAGAGCAGCAGCGATATGATCCCTGAATTTAATATTAAAACTGCTAAACTTGCTTGCGTTAAAAGCTAGTAGTTCTGAAGAGTAGCAGTCCAGTTGTTGATGCATTATAAAGTATTATAATTTACTCAGTGCAGTAAGAAGTTACAGGTAGTACACTGGCTTAAATGTGCATGATTTAGAGAGAACATGGATCCTGGATGCTTCCCCATATGTTTTGATATTTACCTTATACACTGTGTTTTCTCCTCCTCCAAATAAATTAATATAGTTTCTTGCCCTGTGCCATCACTGATTAACAGTTAACTATGACTGAAGCAACAGCACTCGTTAACCACCGCAGTGCAATAATTGCAAATAGTACCATTACATGCACCAGTCTGATAGCTCTGAATGTGTATATATGTATATAATATTTATGAATCCTGCCTCTCCTCCTTCCTCCACGTTTCCCCTACCTTTCATCGTAATTTTCTATTGTCACTTGTCTTCTGTCTGTTGCCTAAAATGCCCTTAGAGCCTCTGTGTCAGATTCCTTGTATGATCAACATACCTGGCAATTAAATCTGATTTTGATATCCAAATGCAGTAAATAATCTTTGGGCGTGTTTTTCTATTAATTATAATTATAGACTATAATTACAACTCACAACAAATTAATATATTTTTCATAGTGACATAAATTTGAATGGGTTTTCCTTCAATATGTGCTTTAACACAAACTCTGAAAATGTGACTTCATAGTTTGAATTTATTTTATGATATATACTGTAAGTAGGCTTAGAAGAAGAAGGAAAATTCGGCCAATCTCGATTTTATTTCAGCCTATATTACTCACAGAAATGAGTGTCATTTCATTGTTCCATTTATTAAGTGATTTTGTTTCTTACTAGCTATCTACTGAAAACCAGGAGGTCTGGGAGGAGTGTGTTCAGTGTCTGTCTCTACTGGTCCAACTGTATGGTGGAGAGGGTCACGATTGCCTGTCACCTTCCTGCTTGCAAAGCCTTTCACATGTGCTGCACACACACATACACTCCGAGACCCCCCGAATGCAGCGCACAACACTTAGGATCATCAAACGACTGGTGAGTACAGTATACATGAAGACAGTCAGGCACAGACGAACATGCATAGCAACTTTCACACACATGCTAACATTGCTTGTATGCTGTGCTGTCAGATATCAGTTTGTGCTCCACCGAAACATGTTTGAATATTTCTTATCATTCATACATCTTGGCCCTGTGTTTGTTCATGTTTTGAGAGTAGAAAAATTTTGCACCAGCACTGCAGAGTGAAAGTATTGGAATAATAAAAACAGATTCACTGTAGAGACACACACAAAGTCTGCTCTGCTGCGCTGGTGTTCTGGAAATAGAGTGCAGTTTCACCAGACCTAGACTGACAGAAGGAACAAGACAGAGGAAGAAAAAGTGTTGGTTTGTATCTGCCTGTCACTGTCTGTTCCAGTGTCTGTCCAATTTTGTCTGATAGTCAAAATGATTTGTAGTACAAGACAAAGACAGCTGACTTCTAGGATATACTGCAGTAAAACAGGTGGAGTTTTAGTCAGTCTTCTATTCCCCAAACATAATAAATGACATTATCTCACTCTGGTAATATAGAAAATAGTGAAGCAGCTACAGCAAACATTTTTCAGAATTAGGAATGTTTTAACAAGGTGGCAATTTGTTGCCCTGAGAGAGAGAGAGAGAGAACAATAAAATACTGTAACAGTTAAATAATTCAGGTAGAAATTGAACTGAGGTGTGCTGTAATTTTACTGAGAATTTCAGCTGGAAGACCTACTCATTCATTTGAATTACAAAACCACTCTGAAATCCAGCTTAACTTCCAGTAAAATATTGATTGGAAGCGTAGAGCACACCACAGTAGACAGAGCCAGTTATGAAAGTGTCAAACATCGCAGTTAGTATACATTCTGCAGTCCAGCTTTCTGGATTTTACCTAAGACTTGTGCCCAGTGCCAACAACAGTGGCCATGCAGAAGGCAGCACACTGTTTATGTACTGTGGGTGACAAATAAGTATGTTACATTGAGGCCAAAGACATGGTTTTGCATCCTTTCTGAGAACATGAGGGCAAGATTTCTTCAAGCTTGGTCATTGTGCAGATTCTTTAGGAGTCATTAAAACTGTCGATGCTAGATGTTTAAAAATGTAGTCATTGGTTTGCAGAATCATACAATATCAACTTGAACTGTTGGGTAACAGAGAGGCAGGGTTGGTTTTGCAGTAAACTGAAAATACTACATCTTAAAAAGTAAACGGGACTGACCAAGCTTGAAAAACGGGCCGATTTTGCTGTAGACCTCTATGAATTACATAAAATGCATGCCTAAGGTTTTGGCTTTGTCTGCAGGGTCATAAAATAACATCTGCACATGGATACACAAGGTCAGCTGTCACCTTGAGATCATATGATCTGACTGAGGACTGTGCCTGGAAGCTGTCCTATATTTGTAGTTGTGTGTGCGGGTGAGAGAGAAATTTTGCGTGTGTTTTTTGAATCCTTTCACTGATTAGTTCCAGCCACCTGAACCACCCACACACATATTCTGTCGCACACCAGCTCACTGACGAACCTCCTTCTTTTTCTGTTTGTCATAACTAATTTGTTTTCTTGTGCAAACTTTCTCATTACCCCCAGTGCTAACAGCTACAGTGACATTAAGAAGTGTATTCTCTATCCTGCTCAGCACCCTGAGCAACACACAGAAAGCCGTGCGTGTTTCAGTCATTGCCTTGTAGCTAGTGGATGAGTCACTCAGCAGCTCAGTGCTAGGACCAGAACTAATTTATTTGTTCAGAAAAATATCCATCTACATCTCTGCACATGTAGTCAGTTCTGCTCATTGCCTGATTCAGATGTTAAGGTTTTTGCTCTCTTTCAAATGATTTTTTTCATTTCATTGGAGTCCAGTAGCTAAGGTTTAAAAGAAAAACTGCTAAATTGAGTTTTCTTGCATCTCATTATCAATCATCCAATCAGTTGGCAGAGAGCAATGTGCACCTTTGAAAGAATTCAATAGACATTTTTTTTATCCTCAACACTCATATACATGTAGTCGTCACAAAACTTCTGTCTCAAATACACACCCACACACACAGACAAGTGCCTGCCCTTCAACAAAGGCTTTTTAATTATCTTTCATTGATTTCAGGGCTCTGTTAATCTCAATCAAAGATCCCGCTAATAGCTTGGAAACTGCAAGGGAGGAGAGAGGGAGAATGAATCAAATCTGATTTAGTGATATTTTCAGCTAGTCTTTTTTCAGTTACAACTTTGAAAGACTTGAAGGGGAGTGCTAATTAAATGAAAAGGGGTTCAGAAGAAGTTGTTAGAGAAAGACACATTTACAATTTCTTTTAAAGCGCTTTGATTTGTCAATGCACAACATTTTTTAAAGTCAGTAGTTTGCCTCTAGCGACACAGAATTTATTGTGCTCAGTGATTGGTCATTCACACAAATCAAGTCTTTCTCAAGCCCATTCTTGAGAAAGACTTGTTTATTTATAAGGCACATAAATTGAACTAAGTGCTTTACATACAGCTGAAATTATATTATTTGATTCATAAGTGCAAACAAGTAAAACACAGGACAGATCAAATAAAACAAGACATAAGAAAACTAATTAAAAAAAACAATGTAAAGGCTAAAGAAAAGAGATGAGTGTTAAAAATGTCAGTGAACAGTTGATTTCATTCTTAACCAGCTGCAAGTGAGACAAGACTGATTCCTGCATGGAGTGAGTTGCAGTAGTTGAGGTGGGAAGAAATAAACACATGTACTGTACTATTATCTCACAGTCTTTCATCACATGAATGATTTTAATTCTGCAAGTGATGAAAGAATCTAGTGCTGACAACAGAACTAAGTTGTTTTTAAATCAGAATCACAAATCATACCACAGTCTCTTGCATGGGAGTTGACATTCAATGACAGAGGCCCAAGAGTGTTGGGTAAGGTTAAGGAGTAGTCTTTGGGGCCAAAGATTGGGTTTTGTTCTCGTTTAGTTGGATTTTACATAGGTAATGCAGTTCTTAAGGGAGTTAAAGCAGCATGGATCACCAGGTAGGAGATATTGTATTTTCTAAAAAAAATAGACCCCAAAGGAACCATATATAAAGAAAATAATATGCCTAATATGGAGCCTTGTGGTATACCACAGGATATGAGTCTAGAGGAAGACCCTTGAACATGTGCGCACAAGGGTATGTGCAAAGCATGAATTCCTTAAAGGGCATTCACTGGTTTTCATATGTGAAATGATATGTGTTAAAGAGCAGATAAGAATAGGTTCAGAGTTGAAATCAACCAAGGAGCATGAGATTCATTAACCCACATTAAAGTATAATGTTAGGTTGTCCAGCAGAAATAATTTTTGTTGATACATAATATTTTGTGTAAACTGTGTTCACACTACACAACACATCTGGATCTGTGACCAAAGGCAGGATGTGGTTGTTGTCCTCCTTAGACTGTTAATCTCACACTTGTCTAGAAGCTTTCTCCTCTCTCATCTCCGGAGGCTAAAATATCTGTAGTCTCTCCAAACTGTCAAAGCACATTATGTCCAATTATTGCAACCTTTAACAAGTTTGAGCTGGAGACATGTACACTAATCTATTTATCCATCAGTCCCTGAGTTGCAGTGCTTCCTGCTTGGCTAGGCACTCCATCAAACAATTTCATCAAAACATTTTCCCCATGCTTCACACATTTCAGTATTACAGCTAGAAAAGTGCAGATTGTGACCAGTGACATCTGCACCCATAGATTACTAAGACATAATTTAAAAAAAGTATGAGATAGTGTTATCTCACTGAAGAACTAAGGAAAACTGCCAGTCATATTTACTGTGGTGTGATGAACTGTAATTAAACTTGATTTCTATGATGTGAGGAACACTGATTAGTTATCATTTATTCATCTATCAAGTCAAACTCATATAAATACATGCATGGGCAGTAAGGCAAAAATGTCTGCTCAGGATGCAAAACTGGCCTCAGATTGTGCTCCAGCAGTTAATGGTTATAAATAGCTTTTACAACAGCAGTGGGTACCAGTGACCTCTAACTATGCATAAAACAAATATTGATGTGTTCTCTCTCTCTCTCTTTCTGTTCTGAGAGGCAACATGTGTAATGTGACAGCCTGACTGACTGTTCTTCACTGACTGACTCTGTCTACGTGCCTTTTGTCCGACTTCCAGTTCAGTATTACAGAGTCAGGGTGTTGATCAGGCGGAGCTAGGGAGAGGGGAGGATAAAGGGTAGACAGGGTGAAGATGAGGAGGAGAGTAGGGATGGACACGGGATGATAAGTAGGTGTGTGTGTGTTTATTGGTTGGTTGGTTGGCAGGCTTGCATAAATGTCCCTTCACCCTGATGGAGAAGATGAACTGTCTGTGTGTGTGTGTGTGTGTGTGTGTGTGTGTGTGTGTGTGTTTGCCAGAAAAGTGAGTGAGAGGAACGTCTTTGTCTCTTCCTAACCCCGTTGCCAAGCAACAACCATGCTGTCGCCACAGATACAGAGGTGATGATGTCACCGGAGATGAACGAGAACATGTTCACCAAACACGCAGACATGTACCAACTCACACACTTCCATGCAGGCGCACATGTTCACTAACACACACAGGTTTGTTTTTATTCTTTCTGGGGACATTACATTGACTTACCTTCATTTCCTGGAGACTTGCCCTAATCAAAATCACTACTTGCCTAACCCTAACCTCACCCTAACCTTAACACATTGGTCCTCTAAAATTTAATTAATTACATGGTGGGGACCAGTATCATGTCCCCATGAGAAAAGCCAAATCCCCAAAATATGTAAACAGGTTTTGGCCTCCACAGTGTTAGTAATACCAGGTGAACACACACACACACACACCTTAAACAATTCTTAAACAAACATAGACAAACCCATTTTTATTGTTTATAAAAATGAATTTGTTTCACAAGGTACACTGTTGGTGTTATACCAAGTCAGATCTGAATTCAGACCTTAACTTAGCCACCAGGTTAAACATTGTAACACACAGCAGTCTGGACCAGGTGTTCTGGCTGAGTGTGCAGCCTAGGCCTCATGGCATGGGAAGACGGCAGGACGAGAATAAAAACAAAGGGATGACAAAGAGAAGAATCAAATTATGTAGGAGGGCGATTTAGTGAAGAAAGAGAGGAGAATACTCCAGAGCGCTGTACGAAATTAACAGAAGAATCAAAGAATAAATTCATGCATCAACAAAATTATGAGCACTATTAAGGAGCAACAATTACGATCTGTAGAAAGAAGGAAAAATAAACACACTCATTTAAAAAAACACCAATGTAACACACAGGGTATGTCCTGTGTGTTACATTGGTGTTTGTGTTGGAGTTTTGGCAAATTAGCTCTTTGATCAATTTACTTTGAAATGGCACTGCCAATAAGTGTGATGTCACTCAGCGGTTGGTGGTGGTAGCATACAAATTTAATTCTGTGATGATAACACAGACCAGTGATGAATTTGAGTGGCACTGTGAAAAGATAAAAACTGTGAGAATTATGCTTATAGTGGACAAATGTGTCATCACTGGCTTCTTATCATTGGCTATAGCTGCTTTGTTTCTTCTACATTTTTGGTCCAATAGCCTGAAAAAGAGGACAGGAAAGAAACAAATTAATATTGCATGTTTGCAGAGCATCATGTCTGGAGTTTCTTTGTTGAAACAATAAGACTGATGTGAGGTCACATATTAGTTGTGCCTACATGGCTTTTGTTTCCAGATTTGGGTGCTGTTCACCTGGACTTAACACACTCACAGATCACTGTGTCAGTGTGCACAGCTGGCCAACACACACAGTGATGCATTGTGTTTGCTTATGGAGTTCATTATTCTAACAGTGTTTCATCTCCCCGTGTTGTTCTGTATTTCACTGCCAGACTACAAAGTGCAGCTACTCTGTCATACACTGTGCTGCTCAGTATTTAACTATGTCGGACCCATGTCATCACATGCTTTGTTGAGTGCAGCCCACAGCCATTTAACTGAACACTAATGTGACTGTACCTTCAGCCCTCCTCACTCTTCCTCTCCTCCTCAGGTACAGACTGCAGACAGATCTGATTGGTTAGAGTGTCCTGAAGGGGTGAAGCTAGTGAGTCTACTGCAGGATATGACTACATCCAGCAGGTGTGTGTTTCTGCTCTTTAAAGTTGTTAATTTATTCCATTCTTCCATTTGGATATAACCAACGCTTTGCATAGAATATTTAGATGTCAAAGCTGTGTATACAATATAGTTCTGTCCATATAAGGCACACAGTTCTGTCTTTAATGTGTGTATGTCAGTGGAAACCAATAACAAATTGTTCTGGATTTAAATATGTCTCCTACAGCCATTTCCCTAATCCCATTATTTTTATGCATGTCTGAACCTGTGATTACACTTGTCAGAACTGATATTTTTCTAGTTGTTAATTGAACAGATGCACATTTCTGACAGGGCAGAGTCTGCCTAATGGCTCACAATGAGCTGAGAGAGAAAATATGGGCATTTATGAAAAACAAGACTTGATTTTTGTTGGAGTCTTTGGAGATCTCACATCAGTGGCAGGAAATATGAGAACAGCATAGATATCGTCATATCTATATCTTTCTGCAATTAGTCAAAAGGAATATACGGAACAGTTTGTCTCATTTTATGAGAAAAAGTTGTTGGGGTCTAGGTGAGATCTTTGCAACACAGGAGGCTGCAATAAAGGCTGTGACATCTCAGACACATGTACATTAAATCAGACCAAATGTAGAAGCACATCCTTTAGAGGTGTGTCAGAAACAGGGCCGCTAACGTTTACGAATACCTTTGTCTTGGATTACACTTCTAAAATATTTCAAATAATTTTTCATTCTATCTCTAATAGCTAATATTTACCAAATGTGCTAACAATTAATCTGAAATGTGGTGTATGTTTGTGTGTGTGTGTGTGTGTGTGTGTGTGTGTGTGTGTGTGTGTGTGTGTGCGCGCGCGTGTACTCCGCGCGCCTGCACTGCACCTGTATCTCTGCATCTGGCTGCCTCTTATGACTGTGGGCTGAATGTGTTCCCTCTTTGAGCCAAGGGTTTTGTTACTGTAGTGACTGTGCTTCCTTTTCTCT